AGCCTCCTGGAAAAGTAGTATTTAAGTCTTACATGTAACTGAATCAGACTTCTTCACAGTAATTGTACGTCAATGAGAGGGGTGCTCCTACCTGGTTAGAGTCCTGTACAGATGTGATGACAGATGCTGCAGCAGAGCTTGTTTATTAAAAGCCATGTGGGCCATCCTCCGCCTCTGTGACGATAATTAATTCCACAGGCGAGACACCCCTGGTAACTGTCTCCTTTTCCAGGTTTTAATCAATGATAAGTGAAAAACAAAACATGTACAGTACCAGTGTGGCCCCCACGGGTATTCATCACACCCGGAAACATGCATGGGCCTTCACATGTGTCTGCACCAAGGTTGTGCTTCCCTCAAGCGACTGCAACACGTCACAGAAACCTTGTTCATTGTAAAGGAAGAACATGGCTCATCTAATGTGTGCCTAACACTGCTAAAGGCACATTCTGCCCTTTGTCTTTTCATAATTCAAGCCAATTCATGTGCATCCAGACACTGCAGCACTGATAGAAACACTTAGCTGACTGCCCTTCGCTCTTGTGGCATTAGTCACCTTTATCTTCCTGTTGTACAGCAGCAGTGGACCAGCACAATGCAAAATAAAAGGACTAAATCTGATGAACCTTTTTACAGGAATCATTCAAATGTTTGCTTAGCTGAACACACTCTAGTGTTTAGTTTAATTTCTACAGCTCAACACTGTACTTTTTAAACCACAATATAAAGTGAAAACTACAACATTCTTGTACACAAGCCTGTAATAAAACTGACTAAAACAAAAACATTACATTAAGTCATGACTTGGACAAAAGGGCGAGACAAGCATTTGTGGATCCTCCCCGTCTGTAAAATTATGTGTATATACACAAACTAATTTGTTTTGCCAAACTACAATTAAAGGTTGTGTTACTGCTGTTGGAACTGTGTTCACCGGCAGCATTTGGTTACAAAGTGTAGGACTTTGCTGCTGTAGACTGTAGTTTGCAGCATGAGTCCCATGTTACAGCAGGTTTAGGTGACAGAGCACATGACCATGGTTTCAGGTAAAAGCCAATAAAGTAAACATGCATCTACAGGAGCATTAGATAAGTGCTGCGAGTGCCTGAACTATTAAAAACTATGGTGCAGATATAAAAAAAAAAATGTACAAGTTCTTTTACTAGTTAAAAACAAATCTGATTAAAATAGACTTTTATAAAAAAAACATTTGAGAATGTTTGTCCCTGTTTTACATCAAGCATTTTTATTCTACTTTAGCTAATGTTTACCACCTTTTTAAAATCCTACTTGTGTACATTATTATTGTCCGTGTTGCCTTTATTTAAAGCACTTTATTTCACAAATTGATCGAGTCTTATTGGTACCTCACAGGCTCAACAAAACAGTCTCATAGTGACTTGCAGATATATCCCTCCATGTCAGATCACAGTTTCATCTTGTAATTCAGGGACAAAAAAAAAAAACAAAAAAACCCTGTTCACATGTCATGGTTTATTTTTAGCAGCAGCGTCTCATGCCTCCTCTCCTGTGTGACCGTGTCTTCTCTGCCACCGTGTCAGAACTGTCAGTGGAAAAAATTAAAAACACTATCCAGCCCCGAGCTCCCAAAGACAACACCTGAGGGATATTAGTCGGTAGGTGTGCCTGCAACTTTTCTTCCACTCACAGCCACAGAGGAAACTTTCCATTTATTAGGGTGATGAAACAGGTTCCCTCACAGCTGCTAATAGTAAATTATGTGCAGGAAGGCAACTCATGAGACTGCGAACACAAACTGCAAGACAAAAGAATCATCAAATCTCTATCGACAATGGATATGGTTTGACACTGTAGAGATTACCAGCTTCACATCTCTCATTCAGTAACACAAGGCCTATATAATTTAACATACTATAGCATCAAGTATTAATGAGATTCTACCTAGAAGCAATATTCCCATGACAGTGTGACCTCATAATGATTCCTTCACCATGACGCCTACCTCAAGAACTTGGAATCGTACTGAAATCATTATTAGTTTGAAAGTTATTCAAGAAAAATATTTCAATGGAGATTTTCTTCAGGATGTAGCTCAGTAACTTTTAGAGCTACATCACATCTGTTGACACCTACCGAATGAGCAGAGTTTCAGCTAGAATCTGCTCTTAGACACAAGTCCGTAGCTTTACCGATTGCCTCACTGTAACCAGTTTTCTGCGAGCGCTACAAATGTGTACATTCTAAATCAGCAGATCTGGTGTTACACCAAAATCTGTGCCCCATCAGATTCTGTGACCCTGAATACTACTTGGATCCAGACCAGACTTTGGTGTGTGATAGATGTTATGTGAATGTTACTGCACAGTTTTTGTCCAAGTATTGTGTATGGAGTTAAAAGAAAATACTAAAATTAGCCCCATCTCACAATGATGAAGTATCCATATATGGAGCAACACCAGATTCAAAACTTGCTCTGTGGGCCACACTCTACATCTCCAAGACATTTCCAAATCTGTGCATCATTTTAAGTTATGCTGTGATCAACCCAACAAACAAACCAACAAATGTCACTAAAGACAATACCTCCTGGGTGGAGGTAAAAAAAGACAAACAGGAAACTGACCAGAGATCTGCCAAGATCAAACATCCAAGTGCAGGTGATTTCAGCAGTAAAAAAGAGGGGGCAGACAGGGCTGGAGTATAAGAAACAATCATGTCAAAACAAAACAAGTACACAGAACTAACAATGGAGCACCATGTTCTCTGGCTGCTGACTTAAATACTGAGTGGTTGATTGCACTGAGAGAAGACAGGTGAGTGTGGGTGGAGCTGGGCAGGAGCAGGTAACGAGAGCGACATGATCTGTTCCATGGTTCTGTTGTTGTACTTCTGCTACTTTGACACTAATTTCCTTGTGTGTGATCAATAAAGCTTATCTCTGAACATGAATAGTTATTCTTTTATTTTTGTTATTATTATTTTTAATGCAAAGACAGAAAATTTATTTAACTTTTTTCACAGGTATTCTTTTTTTTTAATTCTGATTTTGCAGCAGCTGATTCAGTCGTAAATATATTAATTTCATTTTGTTTGCTTAGTCATATTAGCAGCTTTACTTTACAGAGCTGGTCCAGCTGTTCTTTGTGTTAGAATGCTAACATGCTAAACTAAAATGCTGAATACGGTAAATAGTATCTTGCAGAACATCAATAGATTAGCCATTAGAAGTATGTTAGCATGCTGATGTTAACATTTAGCTCAACGTTTGCTGTACTACAGCCTCAGAGCTGCGAATGGTGGTCTCGCTTGTCTCACTTTGCATCACTGATGTGCAGGACTGGCCTTCAAATACACCTACTGATATGTTTCACAGTGTATTCTCAGGTTTTTTGCCTCTTCTTCTGCAGCAGCCCCACTTGAGGCTCTTGTCTTCCACTCTTTCAGACTGGATGTGTGGCTGCACCTGTTGATGATTCTCTTCCTCGAGGTGTTTTCCTCTCGTACTGTCTGTCACAGCATTTACACAGAGAAAGGAATCCACCCACACTGCAAAATCTCAGCTTTCACAAACAAAAAAAAAGTAAGTAAGTAAAATGGGGGAAATATTCCATAAAATAAATAAAATAATCATCCAACAAAACAAGGATATTTCATTTGCTGATTTTTTAGAAACAAGTAAAAATATCTCGTCTTGGTATCTTAAAACTATTGCAGCTGGACTAAAAACAAGAACATTTATCTGATCCAAAGCAGTACCGTACTTGTCAGTGTTGCTCAAACAGCTTTATAATTCTTGTAAATTTAATTTTAAGCATTAAGTTTACAATCCCTGTAGATGAGTGGTTACGGCACGGTGCACCATACACACCTTCAGGGTTTGGATGTCAGTGATTTGACTCCAACAGCTGATAACTCTGTCGCAGGTCCTGTTTCCTCTCCACAATAGACTGCTTAATAAAGCCTAACTCCACCCCAAACCAACTAAAAATAAAAAGTTAATCTCAATAACATGTTACAATAACTTGCCAAGGCAAAAAATCTTGAAATGAGTAAAATCTTCTAGCAAAAAAAAAAACAAACAAAAAAACTGCCTGGAAAGAAGAAAAACACAGTCAGAGAACTTCATTTAAGATATTTCATCTTACTTAGATGCCACTTTTTGCAGTGCAGGACACAGATGTGGAGGCATAGTCTGTTGTGCTTCTCTGTCCATGTCTGAAATGTTGTCATACAGTTTGATGGTGAATAGTTATAATCACATGCTGTATAAAAACATGACCAACATAACATTTAGGTACTGTACCTCTGGGGAGCTTGGAGACATTCTGGGGTTGTTGTGGTGAGGTTTGGTTGCTGGTGACCCTCTGGAGTTATGGCTTTTGTCAGTCAAGCTGCAGTTTGTTACAGACATTGCAGACGTGTTTAAGGACAGACAGGTGTGAATTTCACTCTAAAATCCCATGTTATGACTGTACTATAATTAAAATATGAAATTAAAAAGACAAAAAAACAGAAAGTGTCAATATATATCTGTGTTTAACAACGTATTTGTCATAGGACTAGGAGGCTTAATTTATACTGTGTTAAAGACATTGAATAAGATTTTGCATAGTGGTTATGAACGCTATAGATCAGGAAGTTAAAGTGTAGCTTTAGTGCTAAACTGGTCTGAGGTGATGCCATAGCTGCACCTCTCGCCCTGACACCAACAGGGCGAGAGGTGGACTTCAGTGACTAACTGAATTAGTCTTTATTTTCTAAATGTTGAGCTGCTTTGCTTTATCTATTTAAATTTTTTGGATTTGGATTTTTAATTTTCATGTATGGAACTAATGAAAATTTGCAACTGCTCTGACGAAAGCTAGTGGGAATCCAATGTGTGTCAGCAAGTCCTCGTTGGGTCATTAGTGCATTATAAAGCAGATTTGTTTGTTCTGCAGCACAAAACTACACCGGGGAAGTTGGAGCTTGTTGAACGTACTGTGGGGTCTCTCCCCCACAGGACTGAGTGGGGGAGTTTCGCACCTTGTCATCGTCTCCTCACACCTAGTGATGCACATCAGGGACATGGTGAAATACTCAGTTCCACTTCTCTTTTATTTTGGAAAGTGGTAACACAGGTCCCACGGTGGTTTGTGATCATCTGTATCCATTAATGTGACACTGAAGCAACTTCGTCTCATCATTTCTGACAAGGTGCCAACAGCCATAGTAAAGGGTCAATACTGCCAGTCAGTCAGCCAGATTTACTGCCCCGAGCGAATGATTATTTTTGACTTCTGTGACTTTCACAGTTGTTCCCCACCAGACACATTAAGCCTGAGGCCAGAGAGAGTCTCCAGGCAGCCTCAGCACATGTCGTCACTGAATCACTACCCTCTGGATTTACACAGACCTTTTCCGTTTTGAATCTCAGTTTCTTCACATGTTTTAATCAATAAAGCTCCTTTTATTATTACCAATACAGTGACTATGAGTTGCACTGATAACTAACATCAGTACATGCTGATGAAATGGCTGAAACAGAACATGACACCGTCACCAGCTGCTTTCTGACTTGTCTTTGTTGTCATAAGGACACATCAGATTAAGTTCAGATAGCTGGCAAAATTATTTTTCAAATCCAGTTGGATTTTTTCTTCATTCAGTGTTTTATTGCAGTGCCTTTGGTGAAGGCTTGATCTTTGCTGCCCTCTTCTGGCTGATCAGTAAAGTGCTCATGCTCAGGTTGTGTTCTGCTCTCTGTTGATGAGCCTGCAGTCCACCTTCATCTGTCTGATTAAAGACAGGATGCAATTAAATTTTTGTGAAGCCATGCACTTTTTTACAGTGCTTCTCACTTCCTGTTTCTGTTACACATTTTTTAGTTAAAGTGTGCCACAAACTTCCAGAGTAACAAACATCAAATCAAATCAAATCAAATTTTATTTGTATAGCGCCAAATCACAACAAAAGTCATCTCAGGACACTTTACAAAGTAAGGTCTAGACCTTACTGTTATCAATATTATTACATAAAACACTGGTCAGGTTGATGTGACTGGTGACTGCTCATCAGAAACAGAGAGCTCCAGGGATACCTGCAGAAAGGTACAGGGAGAGAGAGAGGACACACTACGGGAGAGAGGAGACACAAAGTTAGTAATGTGTAATGGTGGCATATAGAAGCATAGGGAGAGAGAGGAGAGGAGAGGAGAGGAGAGCAGGAGGGGAGGGGAGAGAAACTCAGAGCATCATGGGGCCCCCCAGCAGCCTAGGCCTATAGCAGCATAACTAAGGGAAGGCTCCGGGTCACCTGATCCAGCCCTAACTATAAGCTTTATCAAAAAGGAATGTCTTAAGTCTAATCTTAAAGGTAGAGAGGGTGTCCGCCTCCTGAACTGAGACTGGGAGTTGGTTCCATAGGAGAGGAGCTTGATAGCTAAAGGCTCTGCCTCCCATTCTACTTCTGTGGACTCTAGGAACCACAAGTAAACCTGCACTCTGAGAGTGAAGTGCTCTGTTAGGATGATAAGGCTCTACGAGGTCTTTAAGATATGATGGAGCCTTGTCATTAAGGGCTTTGTATGTTAGGAGAAGGATTTTAAATTCTATTCTGAATTTTACAGGGAGCCAGTGGAGAGAAGCTAATATGGGAGAGATATGATCTCTCTTGCTAGTTCCTGTCAGTACTCTGGCTGCAGCATTTTGGATTAACTGGAGGCTTTTGGGGGAATTATTGGGACATCCTGATAGTAAACAGTTACAGTACATGACACTCATCTACATGTTGGCAGAAAATGTGAAAATAATGAAACTCAAAACAATATCAATATAATGGATAACGTGTTTGCTGCCTGTCCTTCTGGCTCCTATGCTCTTAGTTTTGATGCAGTTTAATGAAAATGCATTAAGAGCAGGAAAATATTGGTTAATATTAGATTGAAAGTGCATGGCATCACGTGGTGGTTATCAAAGCCTCTGCGCTCTACACACTTATTATGTTGCACCATGGAAACAAAAGCTGCACTATCTGTGCCACTTCAGCTTCCAAAACTGAAAATCTTTCTGTAAACAAAGTCAAACTGAGCAATGAGCCAACAACAATCAGGCAGCAGAAAGGAAGGGTTTTTGAATTCATGTGTCATTTGACAGCTTCTGTATGATTAATGACCCTTCTGGGCTCATGATGTGTATGTGAGTGAGTGTGTGTGTGTGTGTGTGTGTGTTGTATATGTCTGATCTCAGCGTGAGAAAGGCAGAGACATTACTAGGCTGATTACTAACATGTAGGAGTGAATATAGAACTTGCACTAATATATTTAATATTAATTCCATTAATGCCACAAGACACCACCCCTTGTGTTTTGTGACAAAGTCAAATTCACAAGTGAACGGAAGCTCTCGCTCCATGATTTGGGTCAAAATTGAGAGCTGCAGTGGCCCGGCTCCTGAGTCCTGGCTGCGATCCTTGTACCCATGAAAAAGGGCCTTTACAGAGCGCCTTCTTTCAAAATGCGGAGGGTGGGGGGTGGAGGTGGAGCTTGAATATACATAAGGGGCTAAGACAGCCTGCCAGTCCAATTTGGCACAACATCACCAGACAATTTGCTGTTGCTTAACCTATACAAGGAAGCTGATTGGGTCTTTCCATTCATTTAGACTCTCCTTATCCTGTCCTGAGGCTTGTTAGAAAATAATCCTCTTGGATTGACCATCTCTTAGGAGAAAAACATCACATTAGTGATGAGCACAGGCAGAATACTCAAAACTGAAGCTTTATTCTGGATGTCGGATGTGGACAATGTGACTGGGGGCCAGTCCCGGGACCTGGCCCTGCAGCCTGCCTGGGACTATCTCCTTCAAAACCACCACGACCTCCTGAGGAGCCCTCTCTTCCCTGTGATCCTTTCTGTCACTACCTATTTCTTCCTGGTTGCTCTTTACACCATGCTGGACCTGCTGGCTCCCACCTGGCCCTGCATCAACAGCTACAGGCTCCACCCTGACAAACCTGTCACCTGGCCTAACATCTGGACTACCCTGGGTGTCACCATCTACAACCACCTGCTTTACATCTTCCCTGCTGCAGTCACCCAGTGGCTTTGGAGGCTGCCCACCCCGCTGCCCCGTGAAGCACCCACTCTCTGGAGCTTCTTCCTGGGCATCCTGGGCTGCATGGTGGTCTTTGACTTCCAGTATTACATCTGGCACCTGCTACACCACCGGGTTCCCTGGTTGTACCGGACCTTCCATGCCGTGCACCACCAGTACAACCAGCCTTTCAGTCTGGTCACCCAGTACCTGTCTGGCTGGGAGCTGTTCAGTGTAGGATTCTGGGCTACAGTAGACCCCATCCTGCTTCAGTGCCACTGCCTCACAACGTGGGGCTTCATGGTCTTCAGCATCTACGTTTCCACCGAGGACCACTGTGGCTACGACTTCCCGTGGTCTATGCACAACCTGGTGCCCTTTGGCCTCTGGGGTGGGACACCCAAGCATGATGCTCACCACCAGCGGCCCGGCACCAACTTCGCCCCATTCTTCTCTCACTGGGACTGGCTGGCGGGCACCCACATGGTGCCAAATCCCTCCGACCACACTGCAGGGGGAGAGACAGACGAGATGCAAGGAAAACAAGGCTAAAGGACTTGAATAAATCTTTCACTGACTCTGTCTCCTTTTACTCACACTGTCTCTGTTGTACCTGCTCTCATTCCAACATATCTGTTTTTCTTTCTGCTCACCTGCAGACCACTTTCTGTCTTTCCTTTCTCTCAGACACGATTTCAGTGACTCACCCTATTTTGATACCGTCCACTGCTCTCTAACAGAACATGGATATTCTTCACAGTTTAGGAGCTGATTGTCACTAACATTTCTTGACCCTCTGGTAAGTTGTTGAAAGGAACTGATGACAGTATACTGTAGCTTCTCATGTGCACTATGTACATTCATCTCATTCATAGAGATTTCCCATTTATTTGAAAGTGTGAATGTACTGTTAGTTTGTCTTCACTGTGTTCTCAGGTCAGCTTCCATACAAGTGTAACAAGTTTTTGAGCTACCTTGCAAAGTAAAAGTAAAAAATAATCCCCTTAAGGCTTGTTTTATGTTTCACTATAGCTCTTGTTGACCCTAAGGCGGTGTGATCGGTCAGAGTGATTACACACGTTAGCACGTACATTTTTCCCTCTCTCCCTCCTCAGCATTGCCCCTCTCACTCACATGCATGAATGGCAGTCTTTTAGCTGCATCCCAGTATTATGCGTGAACGCAATACTAATCTATGATCCTCTCTTTGAGACAAAATGTTCCTACTGGCGGAGGTCTTAGTTCAACCCCCAAAACAAGAATGTCATATACATGTTTGTCTTCAGCTGGGAAAAGAAATATTTTGAGGATATTTGCATATTCACAGCAGCTGGTGTTATGGTACTTTACTATGTGGGACAAATAGAGGTTACTGCGAGAACCGACACATTTTCCCCACTGGTTTTACTCTTTTTGAAAAAACTGCAACATGTGGTTGTATTGAGTCAGAATTTTCTAAGATATGTGGTCGGTCAAATAAAAGAATCTAATGTACAGAAGCTTCAGTTTTACTGAATGATGTTACTTCAACTTCAGCAAATACACCAGCAGATGTCACTTGTGTCCCAACAAGGCTGCAAACCTGTCAAACCAAAAGCTTATCTTTGACAGATTAAACCCTAAAGGATAAAAAGACACCCACTTTCCAACTGTATAGTAGCATTTGTATTGATATCAGCGAGCGATACTGCTGTTACGAATCTGCTTCCCTGTGGCTCTGGTCCCTTTGTTGTTACTCACAGAGTAACTAGACATGCAGTTAGAACTGGTTTGGCCTGTTTCTGGTTCACATGGGAATTGACTGATACGACAAGTCATGTTTATTTTAGAAACACTGACTGAACAAGCCGTAAGCACAAGTGTCTGCCTGCCTTTGTTTAAATAACTGAATTAAATAACCAGACGTGATCCTGTTTTCTTGTAATGTACATGCAATTTCACCATAGTAAGCAATTTCTTTTTTCTTAAATTAATTAAAAAATAGTTAAGCTATTTGATATCAAAGATGAATTTCTAAAGACTGTGAAGTGAGATTCAAACAATTAAACATGCTCATTGTTCTAATAAATGAAACTGTTCAGTCCATTATCTATTATTTTCTCATATTCTTATACAAAATATGTTTTTATGAGTACCTTTAGAACATACCACAAATATTTATATCACACAAAATGTGCGACACAGAGCACCACATGCTGCATGTGGCTGCAGCTACAGAACTTCCCCCCATTTTTAATGTCGGGAACATGCACTGTAAAAACTGTGAAGTATTAAGCATTGCTGGAGTAAATAAGATTTTCATGGGCGATTTAAAAGAATAGTTCAGCATTTTGGGAAATATGCTTAATCGGCAATAAGATTTATGCCATACTTGTACCTATGAATGCTAAGTATGAAGCTACTGCCTGCAGCTGGCTAGCTTAGCTTAGCACAAAGAATAGAAATGGGTGGAAACATTTGGTCTGGCTCTGTCTAAAAGTACTGCTAATTAACACATGAGATAGTTTTTGATTTGATTTATTCTTTCAAGCATGTAAAGACAGTTGATATATCAACACACATAATTTTACACATATCCAACAAATGCTAATCCAATATCAATTTGCTTATACCTAGTACATGCTTGAATGGAGTAGGAAGAAGTCAGACTTATCCAGTCCTACCCCATGACATCATCTTACCATCATTGGTTTGCAAGCAGTAAATGATTCACTTCTACCCACACACGTATTATACTAAAAAAAGATTATAACAGTGTTAACATTCTTACATAATTACATTCTTAAATAATTATCTTCTACACCACACAAGTAATATACTAAA